CCTTTTGTATCCCAATTGAAATTCCATCAACAAGCAACCTGTTCTGGGTGAGGCAACTTCCCAAGCAAGTGAAGTCGTCGACGAGTTCCACCAATTCCCTATCCTTAGAAGTAGTTTTAAACCAGTCGTAAGGCAACATCTTACATCTGATACATATGAAACGCATGTCCAACAAACTCAGATTTTTGTTCAAGGCGTTAAGAAGACCCTACATTTTCCGGCAACTTCATCTAGGGGAACAATGCCTTCTGCGAACTTCAAGTCAGCCACATGGCCTCCAGGTAGTAGATCAATTTCTGTAAAGACATGCGCATCTAAAGTCATCTCTATGTATACATTTGTAATGGAGTTCAACGGGAGTGGTGACAAAAAGCATACCTGCCTTTCCACCTGAGCTGTTGTCATGTGCTTTCCAATTCAGTAATGCTTCCACTCACCATCGTCTTCTTGGAACTATCCTTAATAAGCATAAATAGTCACCATGGATTACCTTATCAACATCTCTCACCTTCGCCACCACTGAGAAAACTCACGAACAATTCACCTTTCAGTTGCTTTCACTCTTCATTGTCGTCAAAGCCAACTGGAATGCATTCTCCCACATCACTCAGTTCGCATGAATTTACGGAAATTCATTGACGTCTCCTAGCATTTCCACGTAGGTCAACAACTGTATTTACCACTGTTTCTACAGTAGACTGAATATCAATCACATCAGGCTTCCTCTGAATGACAATCGTTGTCATGTTCAGGTAAGTGCTTACCTGTCTCCTCTTAAACACCTACTTCACACTTTCATCTTCCAACCGACCAAACACAGGCTTCACTTACACCTGTTTCCTCCAACCAGTAAGATCCACAAACACACGTGCCCGTACTAACGCCTGATCCGTGTCCAGATCCGTACTCCACAGTGAGCTAGCTAGCTGCAATTCACCACTGATGGCTTATACCAATATGATATATAAAAGTCTCCATCGTCGGTTTGATGTCCACGAATATCACATGAGACAGTGTCTCTCCTTAATGTCTGAAGTTAGTGCTGACCACAAACGAGTGGTTGTCAGCATCGAATTGCAAAGGAGATGGATGGTCACCGTTGTCAGTTCCTTGGCATGGGATCCACAATATGTCTCTCCGATTGCATCAGCTTTCCTAATTCAGCCTTGAAGTTGCCTACTATTATGAATATACTTGAACCTTCGGATTTAGATATTAAAATGACACCTTTCGGTGGAATTCATCCTTCACATCGTCCAAACTGCATTCAGTGAGCGCATAGGTCAAGATTATGAGTAGGCATCGACAAGTCTCACAAATGCTTCTACTTCTTACAGATCCATTCACTCGGACAGAACAAACAAAGTTGTGCACTGATATCCACTCGAGAAGTCGGCTCCCTGCTCACAAACTTAGTGTTATACCTACACCAACATCTCTCCATGGAGTCTCTGGATGCTGGTAAGGTGTGTTTTGAAGGTGCACCGCAAAGATCAGGTGAGGTCAAGTGACTGGTCACATTCGAGTCCTGCATACCTGTCTCATAAACACAGTAAACATCGGTGGCTCAAGGTTATGGAGTTTTGGGAAGAGTTGGCTGATTGGGTACGCGTTTGGATGTTGAAAATTCAAGTGCAAAATCTTCTGGAGGATCGCTGATGTTTATGGACAGTATTTTGCTGATTTAGGCCATTAAGAATCGTCGTAGAGTTGGAGGTATCAGTAAATGAATGCAAGGGATGTGACAAAGGTATTCGAGGTAGGTTTTTGGATTTTCCGAAAGGTTTACGCTGCGTAGCACCTAGAGATTGCTCACAGGGATGATTTTGTTTTTTTCAAATTCGCTAATAAAGGAAAAAAGAGATTATTGTGATGGCGTAGCGAATGGGATATCTTCTTGAGACCGGCCACAAACAGCGTTGTCGCAATGTTGGGTTAGTATTTTTTCAATATCCGCAGGAAACACCTCTTCTGCCGGCACGAGAACACTACATTGCAGGAAGTATTATACTGTTTGTGAAATTAACCCTTTCTAGCTCCATTTCCTCTTCCTATCGAAATGGCAGCATTAGCATTTCACTGCTGGTGGTCCTAGAGGAACGCATGACTACTGCTATATTCTATCCATCCGGTTATTCCACTCTGTCCTTGCACCTTCATGAAAGTGGCATTTGCACCATTTTGGTAACTACTTTTTGTCTTACCACTATCCACCAAGGCTTTCTAGTATGCCAGGACCTTGAGGGAACTAACGCCTCACCACCACCTCAACTCGCTGGGTCATTGTGACATCCTATACTGATCACCACGTCAATGTGGTAGCTACTAAGCGGTTAGAGGCCACACTTTTGAATATTGTTCAATATGCCAGATACCTGATAGTTATATTCTTACCCGTTGCATAACTGTTTCGGCATTGAGTGTTTCAGTAGGAAGCTCACTTGAAATTCGATATCTTGAAATAGTTCACTGCGTTCGCAAAAATCTGTGATAACCGTTATAACTTTTTACTGATAGTTAATTTCATTATTCACAGTGGAAATGAATCAGTGTTCACCTAAGGAAAGCGTTAAAACTGAAAATAACAAGGTCAAGCGAGCCCTCGTATTTATGCAAACACTTCCATGATGGTTTTGAGCTAGTTGCTTCATTTCGAAAACCCCATGGAGATGGGAAAACATTCGTACTCGCTGGTGACACCATTTTTCTCGTCATTCATGTATCCACTCTGACCCATCTCGCGACAATTGCAGTGAGGTATTCAATTCTAGACGAAGTTTGCGAAAATCTCGTCAATTCACTCACGAGCAGATCTGAAATCAATCTGTTGGGTTTTTTCGAGTTAATTTCCAGGATTCGTTCTAATATCCAATGGCAATATAATCTGTAATCTTAGACACAATGTTCGCGAGACTGATTCGTCTGTGGTTGTTACAGGAGTACGTCTTTCATTTCTTGCTCACTGGGAACAACAGTGATTTGCACTAGTCAGGCTAGATCATACCTGATTGCTTTACAATAACTGATACTTCAACTCAATAATTCCCAGCCACCCTCCAGGTCCTATGTTGAAAGTAAGATGCTAAGAAAATAACTATGGTTTAATCAGGCTGTGACTGGATCGTGAGTAACCGGAGACTACCTGTAGCCAACTGACCTGCTATAATTACGCACTGCAGACTTAAACGTCGTCTCTACTACACTCAGCCATCCATTTTTACATACCAGTAACTTCAAAACTTTCAAACACCGTATATAGCTCCCTCCTAAAATGTTTGCTTTCGCCTAATCACCACGAATCACCGTCCAGACAAATACGCAAATCACCTCATATGCAAAAACCAACTTTCCATGAACCACCTGAGAACGGGCGCCAATAAAAAAACATCCGTATCATGAAACACACAAGAAGAAATCAAGGTTACATTACGTGAAAAAAATGATCAAACATCCATTCCTAAACTAACTCAAAACATGACAAAATTAACAGAAAACAATAGAGCATACGGTCAATACAAATTTCAAAAAAAAGCAAAAACAAAGACAGCCTAAAGAAATAGAAAAAAAAGATCGAAAAAAACGTAAAGAACGGAGAAAATACAATACAGCCTAAGTCGTTCATATCCCGTACAAGTTAAAAAAACCACCGCATATCACTTCCCATACCTCCTCAATATCATCTCTCGTCACACAATCTCAATCGCCATCTTCCACCGAGTCTGCCACCTTCTCTTCTCAACAAAACAATATTTGCATATGCTGCTACGCCCCTGTACAATACCACTACCAGTCAATCAGTCAGCATCAACCTCACACCTGGCATTAATGACTAACCCTACAAATCACCACACCTCGAACGTGTCAATCAACACATCAAGATACACACCACCGACATGAAACTTATACAAATAAAGGAAGACAATCAATGCTCAACAACCGACAACAAGAAGCACTGAAACCTTCCTGAAATCCCCTACCACCAATTATAAGATGAAGATTATCTCTGCATGCATCTCCGTCAGCCACATCCATTCTCAGACATTTCAACATGAGTCGTCAACCACCGATCTCCGTCCACGTCTACGAAAAGAAGAAACAAGGCCTCTTCGAATGTCTCCTTCACACTGCCTCTTCATCAGCTTCTTACCCGTATCCCCTTACAACTATCACCACCATATCACTTCCCATACCTCCTCAATATCATCTCTCGTCACACAATCTCAATCGCCATCTTCCACCGAGTCTGCCACCTTCTCTTCTCAACAAAACAATATTTGCATATGCTGCTACGCCCCTGTACAATACCACTACCAGTCAATCAGTCAGCATCAACTCACACCTGGCATTAATGACTAACCCTACAAATCACCACACCTCGAACGTGTCAATCAACACATCAAGATACACACCACCGACATGAAACTTATACAAATAAAGGAAGACAATCAATGCTCAACAACCGACAACAAGAAGCACTGAAACCTTCCTGAAATCCCCTACCACCAATTATAAGATGAAGATTATCTCTGCATGCATCTCCGTCAGCCACATCCATTCTCAGACATTTCAACATGAGTCGTCAACCACCGATCTCCGTCCACGTCTACGAAAAGAAGAAACAAGGCCTCTTCGAATGTCTCCTTCACACTGCCTCTTCATCAGCTTCTTACCCGTATCCCCTTACAACTATCACCACCATATCACTTCCCATACCTCCTCAATATCATCTCTCGTCACACAATCTCAATCGCCATCTTCCACCGAGTCTGCCACCTTCTCTTCTCAACAAAC